TGGAGATGGGTTGGGAGTGCCCGTTGGCACCTACTACTTCGATTGTGGCTCGACCGGGTGTGTTCACGATGTCGCGTGCGCGTTGGAGGAAGATGCTGGTTGCGATAGGCATTGGGTTGGTGGAGTCGAAACTGGAAACCGACGAGGAGGACGCTGTGGAGCTGGTCGATGACCGCCGCTGAACGCGTGGAGGCGCAGGTGTAGGTGGTACAAGACGCACGCTCACTTTTCTTGCTGTGGGCGTTTGCCTGGAAGGTATGACAGGCTTGGGCCTTATGGGTATGGTTTGTTCCATCGGTGATACTGCAGCTGACGACGGCGTTGAAGGGCCAGCATGCTGGTCAGATGAACCAAGGGGCAAAGTCCCATATTCCGTTAGAGGGAGTTTGACTGGATCTGATGAGGCCCCTCGATCAGTATGCAGGAGTTGGTCTTGAGAGGTTGATCCAGCTTCTTCATCGTATTCCATCCGTCCCTTGCCTTTCTCTGCTTTGCTGAATCGTCGAGGTCGCAACAAATCGCTAAAGCTGAATTGGGAGTCTTTTCGCTTTCGTCCTCCATATCTCGTACTTTGCGTACTATAAGACTGGAGGCTATGAAGCTGCTCCAGTTCGCCATCTCCATCGTAGTGTAAGTCGCAGTTCGACTGTGTTTGCATGGTGTTTCTTCGTCTCGCCTGGAACGTTGTCTAAAGGGTGTATCAGTCAGCAGTGATGTGGAAGCAGCTAAGCCTACTTCGCCATTGACATGAAAGTGTTCGCTTACATTTGGTAGGGAAGCCACACTCATCCCAACGACATCTCCGGGATAACGCTGGATATGCGAGTTCTCTGACGGTCCACTCAGGGTATGAAATACACTCGGTCGCTCGCTGACAGTAGCGTTGAATGATGTGTGTACATCCTCGACGGATCCCCTTCGACTACCAAAGAGGCGTCTAAGCTTTGCGTTGACCTTCTCTATGATCTCGGTGACTTGTGATGGTCTTCGTGGGTGAGTTTCGTTTTCGGGTGTAGGGGGTGTGGTAGGCAGGGTAGAGTAAGCACTGTGGAAGTTTGAACTGGGCCCAGTCATGGCTATGTTGTACGCTGGCGGTGGCAAGCAAGGACAGTCGATCGCTGTCTCACGACTGCTCGAGTGTATTCTTCTTTGTTTCTTGATGTAGCCACGCGTTTGGAGGAATGATTCCGACACTTGCCGCTTCAATGAAAGCTTTGGAGGGTATGGTAATTGGAAGAATTCTGGGTCCACTTCTGTTTCGCTGATGTTGAAAATTACACAAGGCTCGTCGGGAGGTGTGATTCTAGGTGCTTGAGATGTCATAGCATTGGAAAGCTAAAAGCGGATGGCGGAGATGACGATGAGAGCGAAGCAGACAAGAATTTTTTGACCGATACCAGTGCTCGATAGTCGGATGACTCTTGTTACTTTAATAGCCTAGCGATAAGTATGGTACGATCAGCAAGAACATGCTGGTGCCGCCAATGACCAAAGTCCTTTACTTGTACCAATGAACTCCACCAATGGAGTTCGATCGAAAGATACCAGATTGTTGATACAGTCGAAGGGCTTGACTAAACAACAATTCGTGTGGTTAGTGGCAGTTTGGAAGTCCAGCGAAGCAATCTGGAGCAGATAAGAAGATCCTGCACGCTGCACACGCACGCGAGAGCAGCGTGCATCTCGAGCGTTCCTGGGAAGACTGGCCTATGAGAGTCACCCGTCATAGATCAGTGCCATGGTAAAGACCGCTGCCGTGGTGACTTAGGTGAAAAAGTACCGTGCCTATCATCTTCAACGGGCGACACCCTGCAGGATACAGGCATATTCGTCATGATTACCACCACGGAAGTTATACTGGATGACCAAACAACAAGAATCAAGCGGATTACGATGAATTCGACGGTGAAGAGACGGAGGATCCGCAGAGAATGGTGTAATGTTGTGAGTAGCTCACTGGCAGTAACCGCTGCCTGGCACTGAGCAACGGCCAGACGATCAATTGAGGGGTGTTAACATCAGCTGCAGGGACGTCACGCCTTGGATAGCCGTTAGCATCGATGGAACTCGTAAGCCTCCAGTCGTCATGGTCGCCGTCGTCGTCAGAAGCATCCTTGGAAGAGGTCCGAAGATTCCAATTGGAAGCAAAGATGTGGTTGTGGTTTGGCTGTGGAGAACCTTGGAAGGTGGAAGAAGCCGGCGCTAACATCGCGGCAGGTCGACGCGACTTGCTTTGATGACATAATCTTAGCGTGTCTGGCTGCAAACATGTCAAACATAGCATGATGACACCACCATTCCGACTTTCGCGGTTCGCGAATCGAATACGTCCGTCCATGTCACGATAGTCTTCAAAGGCTCGTGATGCCGCCTCGAATATTACCAAGAGGGCCCAGGGCTCTTTCGTCACGATCGGCGGTCTGGGTCCATGTGCGGCCTCAGCGGAGGTTTGCTTCGAGCTCCGCAACTGCGCCAGAGGTCTACGATGTCGTCTGCGTAGGAGGCGGCCCGGCAGGATTGAGTCTCCTGACAGGACTGAAAGCGTCGCCAATCACAAGTGGGCTCAAGGTTGCGCTCATTGAGGGACAAGATCTACACAAAAGTCGACTGCCAGAAGATGCGACCTTAGAGAGCTTTTCGAATAGATGCAGCTCCCTCACTCCAGCTTCTGTGAAGAACTTGCAGGGTACGAATAAGAGTGTGAAATGTTTGATGGTATGAATCTGACATGCGCGGTGTAGAAATTGGAGCATGGGCGCATGTCAACACACCTCGAGTGCAACCATACCAAGAGATGCAAGTATGGGACGGCGTCACCGACGCGCGGATATCCTTCGATTGGCACACAGCGAAACCTCTCCTCACGCCTCGCAACCCGTCTCAGCCTACAACAATCGCCTACATGATCGAAAACGTCAACACGGTCACCGCTCTACTAAGCCGGCTCGAACAACTGGGTGGTGTCGATTTCTACACATCTACAAAGGTCAACTCGATAGATCTGGGTACGGATACAGACAAGATGGACTTCTCGTCGTGGCCAATCCTCACGCTGTCCAATGGGAAGACACTGGCTGCTAGGCTATTGGTTGGGGCCGACGGTGCGAACAGCCCCGTGCGGACATTTGCAGACATTGAGTCACGAGGCTTCGACTATAGCAGACATGGTGTGGTGGCTAGTCTGAAGCTCGAAGGGCAAGGTTGGGGAGGTCCAGACCACAAGATTGCATACCAGCGGTTCTTGCCAACCGGCCCAATCGCTATGCTGCCACTCCCAGGCAACATGTCGACACTCGTATGGAGTACCACACCGGAACGTGCTGCGAAGCTCAAGGCACTGTCACAGGCCGATTTCGTTGCAATGGTCAACGCGGGTTTCCGACTTTCGCCAACAGACCTGGAGTACCTACACACCCTGTCGTCTGGACAGGCAGAGGAGGTAGCATGGCGAGAGAAGCATACGCCCGTCGACGAACACGCGATACCGATGCGAGTAGCACACGTGCAAGACGGCACAGTCGCGTCCTTCCCACTTCGAATGCGGCACGCCGATACCTACACTGGTGAACGAGTCGCACTGGTTGGCGATGCCGCGCATACTATACATCCACTGGCAGGTCAAGGTCTGAACCAAGGCCAAGGTGATGCTGCAGCGCTTGTACGGACGATATCACATGCAGTGCAGACCGGACAAGACATCGGATCGACGTTGGCGTTGGAGAGCTATACCAGTGAACGGTATGCGGAGAATAATGCAATGCTGGGCGTATGCGATAAATTGCATCGTCTGTATAGCGTCGAATCGGGTCCACTCGTAGGGCTACGAAGTCTCGGATTGAGAGCAGTCGATGCAATGGGCCCGTTGAAGGGTTTCTTCATGAGCCGGGCTGCCGGCGGATCGTAGGATTCTGTACCTGTACCTGTATCTGTATAAGTGTCTGTATATAGGCTGCCAACGCAGCAATCAACCCAACATTTTCACACGACAATCATTCCCGAAATGCTGTTCCGCGCCTCTCTACTGCTTACCTATCGTCCCGAAGTTCCTTGCAAAGAGCCCCACAAATAATCTAGCACTACGGCACCTCGAGGAAACGTTAAGAACAGACTTGTCCTACCTCAAGCGGACATCGGATTCGCAGCGAGCTTTCATCATCGACCATGGCGGACCATCAAAACGAAATTGAGACGTTCGGCAGCAACGACGACTTCTGGATCTTTGGATACGGGTATACCTGCCTATGCGTTTCGAACACGTTTAGCCGAAAAGCTAACGCCTCGGTCGTAGGAGCTTGATATGGAAACCACCGCCACACTACGGTACGGCCCGAACATGGCATGAATGGCGAAAAGCAAACTGGCCATCTTGACTTTCCGTCTCAAAGAGAGAGCCATTCCTTGATCTGACAGTGGAAATCCAGACCAGCGAATTCCCGGATACATTGAAGGATACGTGAGGAGATTTTGGCAGGTATGTGTGTTTTTTTCCTTGGCTGGTGCCAGATATGGCACGATATGGTACGATAAAAAAGGTTCTTGACTGACGATCGTAGGCGAGGTATGGAGACTCTCCAACTGAATCGTGGAGAAGCGGGGTTGGAGTAATGCTAATACGGAGATGCTACAGTGAAGATCACCGCGGTACGCCCGAAGCTCCGGGACGCGTTGTCACGTTGATCGATAAGGCGCATTGGGAGACTTTGACGGATACTGTAAGTTGTTGTTTGTTAGTATTCGATCTGTGAGACTTGCAGCTATATGCCCAGATCTGCCTATGCAAGAAGACCTGGTACTAAGAGGAATAGCATGAGTCCACCGAACGCGTTTGGGGCGCCGCATACCACATCCCAGCTTCGAAGGTGCAAGAAGTACGCCAGTACCTCGATATCCGCGAGATAAACGGGTATTCGATTCAATTCACACCATTCCATCCTGCTATCAGCACCTCAGAGGTCACGTCCCCGCCGCACGATTCCGAACCAACTGAAGCCGAAGCTGGCATGCGGGCTGGCATCAAGGCCACTAACACCATCGCCGTGAGAGAGGAGGCGGGAAGTGTTAGATGTTTGGTTTATATTGGGTTACCGGAGAATCCGCAGTTTTTGGGTGCGCAGGATCCTGATGCGCTGGCGAGGAAGATTCTGGAGAGTATGTTTTATCTGATTTCTCTCGGCTGGACGTGCCGCATCTGCCATGGTTTGTTGTACTGACTCTATCACAGGCAAAGGTCCGAGTGGCGAGAACAAGGAGTACCTCTATAATCTGGAGACTGCACTGCTTGGTTTGAGCTACAATAGCGGAGACGCCCACGTAAGTGATTTAGTAAGGCGATGCAAAGCGCTGGAGAAAGAAGCTGGAATCGGGAACGATCACGGAGACGGCGGTGCCGAAGGGCTGTACAGAGTAGGAAGCACCGAGGAACAAGAGGAGGTCGAAAAGTAAACTCAAGAGGCAACGGACAAGTCCGTAATGTAACTGTTGTTTGCGACATTACAGTTTCAACAGTAACATGGCATGTGGCGATACGCACTCGAACAACAACATCAAACTAACCGAGGTTTCTGCGAAAGCCGTTGGTGATTATGATTACGAAGCAGGCTAGCCTGCATGTGACCAGCCATAACGCCAGATATATGCATGATGCGCTTAGAATATACAAGAAGAGAACGTTGGGGACTATGCCCATGCGCCGACTAGTGCCATTAGCAACGCCCCTGCTACGACACTGGCACAGGCCTGTAGTCGCCGCTTCCCCTGTAACGTCACGTAGCTTTCGTCGCTCAAGAAATCTTCAGCAAGGAGCTCCACCAAGCCAGCGAATAGCAACAAGCCACTGGATATGGCGTTCATGAATCCCACGGTTAGTAAGCCAGCTTCACTTGCTGGGTCGTATAGGGTGTGTATAGCCAAACCTATTGCCTGGCCAATGGGTGTGGTGGTTCCGTAAGCTAGAGCCATTAGCCACGGCTTCGGCGATCCAGCTGGAAAGCGAATGGCGCTGATTCTGGAGCCGAGTGCGAAGCCTTCGAAGGTTTGGTGGAAGGAGATGGCTATGAGGAAGACGATGAAGGCGGTGCCAGTGGCGACCGAGAGCGCCATGCCTATGAAGATGGAGTGGAAGAGGATTCCGGCTTCGAGCAGTAGACATTGCAAGAGCAGTTTCTTATTCTGGGCCTCGGTTTTCTCCACATCTTCAGAGGATTCACCGCCAGGTTGGCGAACATGATTATGGGCATGGGGGCCGGGCAGCAGGCGAGACTCGTCTTCTGAGTTCTCCTCATCCTGACGGGCGAGCTCCTCCCTGCTTATCTCAAGATCTGACTCATTGTCGTCGTCAATGGACTTCCGGCTTATCGAATCATTAGGCGTCATCGGCGATGCCAGAGAGAAGGACGGCGATCGGCCTGCCATCAGATTGGCTGAGGATTCGACATCGTGCAGCATGATGCCCGGTATGTGGCCATTCGCTCCTGGTGTGCCGTTACTGAATCTCCCATAGCTATGGCTCCTCTTATGGCCCGGGCGTGCAGCCGCAGCGTGATCGTCAAGGCCTAGGTTTTCGTAGCCAGTCGAATGCGAATGGCCTGCTCCCCTCGATGCGAAGAACATCTCAACGCCTACCACCACAAAGACTGATGTCATGGCTATTAAGCCCGGCATGGCCGAGTAGCCCTTGTTCCAAAACGGGGGTAGACATGGGTCGGTGAGGGACTCGAAGGCGGTAGGCAGGAGATGGACGAAGGCAGTCGCGATCAGGACACCCGTGCCGAAGTGTCTAGATAGGAAGAGGAACTGGTGGGGAACGGGTATCGAAGGAAAGCGCTTGACGACCACGGGGAAGGAGCAAGCTGTGAGACGGTCAGCAGTGCATTGGAGGGTATGTGAAGAAACGTACGAACCCGCAGTGCTAAGTGTGAGTATCAAGAACAAGGCGAAGACATGTATGGGTGTGTTGTAGTAGCCCTTTGCCCCTTTGCTTCCGCATTCTGGTCGCTCATCGTTGTCCTGCTGTCTTCGGAGCAATTCCGCGTGGAGGACATGCGCAGGTATTTCCGAAAGGCCTATGTTACAATGACATGGTCAGTATACGAGCGCCACAGTCAGCCGAATAAGCAGCCATGTCCTACCTGCTAGAATGCCGTCTGCCTGCATGGCGGTTGTTGAAAGAGCTTCCGAGCATCAAGGTACGCGCGGTTCCGTCGCGCTTGCCCAGTAGGTGCCGGGGTCCGGAGCCTCTATTGTTCCTCGGCCTTTCACCTGTTCACGTCCTCGTCGGGTCCGCATTCCGACATATTCACTTCCTTTCGGACTGCAGAGCTATTTGTACGTGTGTTCGGGGGTCCAACATGCACTCTGTACAAAAAAGTATTTCCGAACGCGCCGAAAGCCAGGGGTGCGTCATACCTGGTATATCGCGAACCTCAGATGTCATGCTACCGACAATCGAAGATCTAGTATCCATGCAAGGTCTGGGCCCACGCTTGAGAGTCTGCCTTGTATCATAGGAGACTACCGTGCCCCGGCTCCTGTTAGCATCGGCTGTGGCGTCTTTCATGTCCATCTCCAGTTTTCTGGACAGCAGGTCCTGTAAACATCACGCAACGTTAGCCACCGGCCGTGGCCGGTGCTATTTTTGATCCTTCGGTAACAGCGATCCGCGAGCTCCATCGTCTACATATATAGACAGAGACCCTGCGTTGTTCGCTGTGTCGTGGAACTATCTGGCGTACGGGTTTGGGACGGCGCAGCTGCATCATCATTCGAGAGATTGGCATCGGCGCAGGCACCCCGTCACACCCGACTTCGCTTCTGCAGCCTAACACGAATCGGGTCCTTGATAGTTTCACGTCTCGCGCCCCTCCATCGCCTCCAGTAACACCAAGGACGATACCGCCGCAGCCCAACGTCGTCACGGCACATGTCGGTACCAAAATGTTGACCCGCAAGCATGGACTGGGAAAGTCTGGACTAGTCACCACGCGCAACGTCGTCCCGGCTACACCCTGCTAAGCCCCACCATCTACATCCTCTCTGAACAGGACAATACGGCATATTGCTAGTTCTGTAACGGGAAGAACCGCTGGAGGGCCTGAAGGAGCCACCAAAGGGAGACCGGGTGGCTCTGACCGACAATGTCTGATCAGCGAGACTTTTTGTTCGTCGATGCAGCTCAAGCGAAGACGTCTCGCCAAGGTCGTCGCAATGCTCGTTCTTTTGTCATGCAGAACGCCCGCAGGAAAAACCCATGGTCGACAAGCAAACATGCTGCGAAGCAAAGGAAAACTGGAAGCTCAGAAAGCGCAAGTCCTAACAGTACATGTGCGTCTACGTCAAACAAGGCGACGCCAAGCCCTCCAATTGTTGCGAACAGGTCTGATTACTTTTGTTCCCCAGAGTCTGAAGATTGTGCGATAGCCAAGAGGGACATTTGTCCAGAGTGTCAGATTTTTCTGTGCCGCCCGGGTGAGGGATTCTGCCAAAGATGTTTGCTGGTCAAGCCTGCGGCGCCTGCAGAAGACCCAAATAATCAGCTTTTCGATCCTTTTCGGACTTCATCCGTCGAAGTCACCCGCAGCGTGTCGGAACTGTTGAAGCATTGTAAGTGGCTGTCCCTGCATCTCTCCTTCCATCAAGACATTCCAGTTCGCTGGGTTCGTGGCACGACAACCCTGTACAACGGCGTTGAGAGTGCGAAGTCTAGATTGCATCCGATTGCATGGCGCCAAACATCTCAATGCCCGGCATTGTTGGTACTCAAACGCTGACTTGAACCGTGTAGTTTCCACGGAGATGGCGCCTGGTATCATCGCCGTCGACGTCCGGCATCGTTCTACTCTGATGAAGTCGGACTGGTTCGGCACGGCGATAAGTAATCCAGGTTTCATGCACAGTCTGCTTGCTACGGTTGCGCTGCACGCTTGGGTGTTTGGAAAAGACACCATCGATGCAATCTTGCACCATCGAGCACAGGCTATTGCTGCTGTCAATGCAGCGATACTGACACCGGATGGGATATCTGACGCAAACATCGGTGCAGTGTTCAACTTACTCACCATAGAGGAGAGTCTCCGTATGCCATTTTTCGATCTACACGAAGACCACACAGTCCAACTCGAGATCCATCGAACCGGGCTGCAAAGAATGGTTCAGCTGCGTGGAGGGCTAGGAGCAATCAAAACGAATCGCATTCTTCAAGCCTTTATGCTTTGGTGCGTAGCCTCTACTTCCGCGTTCTGTCCAGAACCGGTTTGGCATGTGCTTACTGAGCATCAGGCATTCGACCGCTCACGCTATTAACGATTTCCAAGCGCCAAGCCCCTCTACATTGGATTTCATCAGCACAGCAGGCTTCCCACGTCATCCACCAGGCTACGAGTCGAACATTTCTCAACATCTGACTGATTATTGTCGGAATGCGGGTATCAAAGAGCCACTTAATGCCTTGGTGGAATTGGTACTTTCCCTGATCGCTGACCTGAACGTCTGGTTCGGTGACCCTGAGAGCCCTCTGGATCCTCTCGATATTCAGAACTTTGCATGCGTCTTGGAATGCTCTCTGCTAACATGGCTGCGCAAGAACGAACATCTTGTCACCCCTCTCGAAGACGCGCTATGCGTTGCGCTACTCATCTTTACGGTGCGGACGACCGAAGCGTTTAAGCTACAGTCTCACGTCCATCTGCTCCACTCTGCAGCGAGCAAGCGACTGGAGAAAGCGCTGAACTGCACTATTCGTACCGAGTGGCAGCATTGTCCCGACCTTCTACTCTGGATACTCTCTATCGGTGCGATATCAGCGGAACCCTCGCCAGACAGCACATGGTTTGTGTATCAGACCTCGCTTGCCTGTGCGGAATTTGACATCCCATCGGCGGAAGCGCTTCTCGAACGACTCCATCTCTGCGGCTGGGTTAGCTACAAGCTCAACGACGCTGTGTGTCAGCTATGGGCCAGGGTTGTGAATCTCAGGTTAGATGACCGTACATTCTTGCCTATGCATTCGCCTGCTTATACTTGAGTTTTTCTTGTACGTAGGCTTGCGCCGTTTTTCGAAGCGCCCTTGAAAGCTGAAGACGCCAATAGCCCTGTTGGGCCGCTGCAGCATCACGTTGCCGAGCCCGATCTCAACGCTTGGGAAAGTATCGACTGGGCTGCTCTCAATTTGGGCCTCGACGACCCGAACCAAGGACACGCAAACAACTCTGACAATGGAGGCGCATCGGCGGATCCGCAAGGCTCCGGGGGACCCGACGAACCATCTTATGCTTTCGGGAGTGGCTACGGATTTACATGTATGTACAACTTCGAGCGCTCTAAACTTTTACTAATACCCGCGTTGCTGGGTGCTAACCTTCTTGGCGAATACACAGGGCCTACGACGCAACATCCTTATGCACACTGGATGAACGGATCGCAAAACCATCACAAACAATGAGGAAGGC